GAGCTGGATACATGGCTACATGGATACAGGGATACAGGATACAGGGAAATCGACGATGTTCTACGAGAACAAATTGGGAAAATATGTTATGTCTATGTAGATGATGTAATAATTTTTTCCGAAAACGAAAATGATCACGTTAAACACATCGGCACAGTGCTACAACGACTCTGCGATGCAAACATGAGAGTGGCCCCAGAAAAGAAAAAGTTCTTTAAAGAAATCGTAGAGTTCTTAGGCTTCATAGTTACCAAGGGAGGAGCCAAGACCGACCCAGAAAAAGTAAGGGCAATAAAGGAATACACTGAACCCAAAACCTGGTTCAGTCCCAGGTCCTTCCTCGGGCTGGCGAGCTATTACAGGAGCTTCGTCAGAGATTTCGCGACAATAGCGAGACCCTTAACCGCATTACTCAAAGGAGAAAATGGCAGTCAGTCCAAGAAAGTTGAGATTCTGTTCGGTGAAACGCAACGCAACGAATTCGACCGTCTGCGAAACATTTTGGCGTCAGAGGACGTCATCCTTACGTACCCTGATTTCAAACTACCCTTCGATCTAACTACCGATGCCTCAGCAAGTGGCATTGGGGCGGTTCTGTCCCAAAACGGCAGGCCAATCACAATGAAATCGCGAACACTAAAAGATTGCGAATTACACTACGCCACAAACGAAAGGGAGTTGTTGGCAATTGTATGGGCTATAGGGAAGTTACAAAATTACTATTACGGTACCAAGGAAGTAAGAATCTTTACCGATCACCAGCCCTTAACATTTGCTGTGTCCGATAGGAACACAAATGCCAAAATAAAACGGTGCAAAGCCTTTATAGAGGAACATAACGCTAAGGTGTTCTATAAACCGGGTAAGTCCGATGCTGCCACGGTGAAAAGCGGGCTCTCTGTCTTACACAGTGGAAACCACGAATAAGCCCCTCAAGTGTTTCAGAAACCAAATAATTCTGGAAGAAGCTAGCCAGCCTCTGCGTCAAAACTTCATAATTTTCGGCGGCAAAACCCGCCACATTATTCATTTTATGTTTTTATATTTATCTGAAAAGATTTGTCTGTAAAAGGTGGATTTGGTAACAATGTTGATAATACGGCAGCAACGAAGTCGAGAAGCGACGGCGTTTCCATAATATGCATACTGTTTTGAATAAAGCAGTATAAAATCTGCATTTAAAACAATTACAGCATTCAAATACAATAACAACTTTTATTGATATATTTATTTTCTCCAACCCCCAAGGGTCCGGCCACCAATCCCCACCCCTCATTTTGCACATGTTGCGGCAGGTCAGGTTCATACGCCAAGCCCCGAAAACAAAATCAAATCATCAAAACGAATTTTCGTTCCATCGCTCTTCAGAAAGTCAGCTCACCAACACATACATTACTTGTATGTCCGTGTGAATCAAGACAAACCCGGTTTGGAGCGCTAAAAAATCATTGGCTACACGAACTTATACAAATGTAGCTGGGACTTCTAGCTGCGTGCTCTACACGCACTAATACACATGTAGCTGGGACTTCTAGCAGCGTGTTCTACACGCACTAATACTTGTAGCTGCGACAGAGTTGGCAGAGGCCTGGGACTTCGAGGCACACATTGAGCGGTGACGTTTCGCTTGGCTCAAATTGAGAGTCTACTATACTATTTGGTTAGTGTCTAAGATCTAAGATGTGAAAAAACAAACCGCTACCTCTGAAAAAATGGTTAAATAAATACCAGATTTTACAAATTCCTCAAAAAAAAATGAATCCTGAATATGATTCATGGACCGTGTGGCACTAGTGCGGCAAGTGTTCCAAACGGTTTCCACGAAAATTGACGGCAGAGACCATTACAGGCAACGATGGTTATCCATTGTATCGGCGTCGATGGAAGAACTGTCACAACTAAAGTGAAAGGAAACGATTTCGTAGTTGACAACAGTTGGATTGTTCGCTAAGGTGTTCTATAAACCGGGTAAGGAAATCTTTGTGGCCGACGCCCTGTCCCGACAAAACATAAATAAACTACAAGAAGAGCCTCAGTCCGATGCTGCCACGGTGAACAGCGGGCTCTCTGTCTTACACAGTGGAAACCACGGATAAGCCCCTCAACTGTTTCAGAAACCAAATAATTCTGGAAGAAGCTAGCCAGCCTCTGCGTCAAAACTTCATAATTTTCGGCGGCAAAACCCGCCACATTATTCATTTTATGTTTTTATATTTATCTGAAAAGATTTGTCTGTAAAAGGTGGATTTGGTAACAATGTTGATAATACGGCAGCAACGAAGTCGAGAAGCGACGGCGTTTCCATAATATGCATACTGTTTTGAATAAAGCAGTATAAAATCTGCATTTAAAACAATTACAGCATTCAAATACAATAACAACTTTTATTGATATATTTATTTTCTCCAACCCCCAAGGGTCCGGCCACCAATCCCCACCCCTCATTTTGCACATGTTGCGGCAGGTCAGGTTCATACGCCAAGCCCCGAAAACAAAATCAAATCATCAAAACGAATTTTCGTTCCATCGCTCTTCAGAAAGTCAGCTCACCAACACATACATTACTTGTATGTCCGTGTGAATCAAGACAAACCCGGTTTGGAGCGCTAAAAAATCATTGGCTACACGCACTTATACAAATGTAGCTGGGACTTCTAGCTGCGTGCTCTACACGCACTAATACACATGTAGCTGGGACTTCTAGCAGCGTGTTGTACACGCACTAATACTTGTAGCTGCGACGTTGGCAGAGGCCTGGGACTTCGAGGCGCACATTGAGCGGTGACGTTTCGCTTGGCTCAAATTGAGATTCTACTATACTATTTGGTTAGTGTCTAAGATCTAAGATGTGAAAAAACAAACCGCTACCTCTGAAAAAATGGTTAAATAAATACCAGATTTTACAAATTCCTCAAAAAAAAGTTCTGCCATAGAAAAACCCAATAGTCATCAGACAAATTTACATATTTGAAAAAAACACTACTCGACAAGATTTTAAGCTTTCAAATTTAAAATTTTCTACATTTTTTCTACATATGACATCTACATCAGTTCTCACTCCAAGTTGAAAGTAGCAGCAGCGAGTTAGCAGCGGGATGTTGTTAACAGCCAGAAAGCATCGGTGTATTCCAGAGAAAACTGCAGAAAAGCACGCTCATATTGTGCCGCCAATCGAATCCTTCCGCGATTGGCGTTCCGAACTCTTCAAGTCCGAGTGTCCACTTATCCATATGTACATATATTCTTATGTACAATTGTCCGATCTCGCTAACAATTTCCGTGTCAAGTTATCCGCTACACAGCCATAATATCCAACACGTACATATGTATGTGCATGTTTTTCTGATCAGCACGCACACACCACGCCCCCAATAAAACACTCCACCGAAATTATTTATTGGCGTTTTTTATTAACTTCCATAGAATTGTATATTCTTACATTCTTATTGTCACTGAATATCTATACATATAAAAGAAAGTCGTATTTTGTAAAGCACTTATAACTCGAGAACGGCTCGACCGATTGCCATGGTTTTTGATTTGTTGGATTTGTTTCCGTCGCGAGTAGCAGAATACATATTAAAAACAACTTATGGCCTGCTTGTTGCGGCCTTAAAGCCAAAACTTTATTTTTTTCTGAAGACATCATGTGTGTGTTCAGAAATTTGTCTAAAAAGTTCATTTGTGGTTCATTTTTATTTGTTTAATCATATTTAATATTTGTTTTATTTATTTGTTTAATTTTGTATTCATCATTTTAATAACAATGCCGCGTCCTAGAAGATCCAATCTTTCCCAGCGAAGCCGTAATGCAATTATGCAACGGAATATAGCGAGTCAATTATCTGAAATTGCACGAGAACAGCGCCGCGTTAATATGGAGCAAAGAAGGGCCTTAATTCGTGCTTCTCAAACACAAGAGCAAAGAGAGAGCAATCGTCGAACTTTTCGTACAGAAGAACAGATGAATAATCTTCGAAGTGCAAGAAGAAATGGTTTGAATCGAGCAGCGTTTCTGTATGATTGCACCATCGACTACAGCTTGCATCGTTTAGTTCCGGACAAACATCAAGTGATCGACACGACATCACCGCACGTGTTTTCCGGCAAAAAATTCGCAAAAAATGCGGAGATTTCTGCTTCTGAAATCGATCCAGACCTACATGATGTTGTAGTCACGAATATGATTCATGGACCGTGTGGCACTAGTGCGGAAAGTGTTCCAAACGGTTTCCACGAAAATTGACGGCAGAGACCATTACAGGCAACGATGGTTATCCATTGTATCGTCGTCGATGGAAGAACTGTCACAACTAAAGTGAAAGGAAACGATATCGTAGTTGACAACAGTTGGATTGTTCCATATTCGCCACTTCTTTCCAAAACATTCAAAGCACATTGTAATGTTGAGTATTGCAATTCGGTCAAGTCAATTAAATACATTTGCAAATATGTCACGAAAGGGAGCGACATGGCGGTTTTTGGTATCCAAACATCCAATACCAACGATGAAATCACGCGCTATCAAGTTGGTACTTTTTTGTTTCTATCTATATAAACATATTATTTTGTATCATTGTTTTACGTTCATCAGAGCCTAAATTAGTTCAGCTAAAAAGTAACACGACATTCATTGACTGTTAGGCGGTGCGAAGTTCGCCGGGTCACCTAGTTTGTAATAAATAATACCGCAGAAATAACGATTACTTCACATCTACATACCACACTTGGGATATGTATACACCTACGCGTTAGTCAGATACGCGGTACCAGCACTCCGCTGCTTATGAAAATTTCGTGATTACCGAGATTCTAAGCATTCCGGCGCACCTGAAGCGACCCACAGCCAAAAGAATTTCTCCCAAATCCGGGATAAATTCATCCGACAAGAGGCACAGCTTGCCTCGCAGCCTTTTTGCATTTTTAACGCGCCAATTTTCTAATTGCCAGAAAAATAGAGGTGACAAACGCAAAAAACCTAATGGTGGCAAAAATAAAAATATCGCTCACGGGTCTCTTATCCATCCGAGCAGTTAATATTTTTGCGAAAATCGTTTTGTCCATCACCCACTACGACTAAATAAAATCCAATACCGATATATAAAAATATCGTAGTCTAGTGCGGATTCCGATTTCGTCTTTTGGTGCATTAAAACCACTGCCAATAAGAAAATATCCTTTTTCTTGAGGCATATCGTCCGATAGTTTTCTTATGCTTGACAGAGAAACAATTCTTGTTTTTCTACCTCTGGGGCGGTTTCCATCCCAGCCTCATCCGCACATGCCATCAACGCCGACCCCAGGTACTCCAAGGGCCTTCACGAGTGCCACGGCGACGAAAAAATCGGTTCTGTTTCCTTCGCCGATCACGCATAACGTGCTTTCACCTCAAAACCCGAAACTAGACGATTCTCGCCCCACACTTCCAATGGCACAGTCGACCGTCACCTCCGCACTGCTGAGTTTGAGACCTGTTCGGTGGCAATATTGTGCGAGTCCCCTGATGTCCAACAGGAAGTTCAGGACATGTATGGCGAATGCTATGAGGGTTACGAGCGGTGCGTAGCGGACCTCATTGCCCAAATCGACCGCCCAGCAGTCCGTCCTCCCGCGCCGCAACCCCCCC